CGGTTTTTACACCTTTTGAGGTTTTCTTTTGCATTAAGAAATTTCTACTTGAAGGATCATTAGAAATACAATTATTTTTATTTGTCATAATTTATTTCTTAAAGAATTACAATTTACAGGCATTTTTATATGATGAATGATTCTTCAAATAAAAGCATAATCCTTTTAAAGTTACGATTAGAGCACATCCCTTAGCATATAAATTTGAACAAACATGATTACAATACAAAGAAAGGTCTTATAGCATATGATTACCAATTCTTCTCATATTCTTATAAAGTTCTTTAAGCCCAATATATAACTTATTGTCTGTATTGAAAAAATAAGCTTGTCAATCATAGAGTGTGACTACATCTACATATGATTGTATTAACTTACCATACCATCAATTGAAAATGGCGCCTAGTAGAATTTTTAAGATTCAATGCCTAATTCAAATTTCCAATACTTACCAAGTTTTGCCATGGGACTGGAACAAATCATCTAAGGTTTCTATTTTATTCACATTAATTGAATTTAAATTGAAGTATGCTTACTCTTCATATTAAATTTCAAATACATTCACTTGTTTTTCTCAAAGGACTTGAGCATATAATCTTTGGAAACCATATCCCACAGTCAGTGTAGTTAGCCAGTATATGCATTCTCCTAAAACCACTCACCTTCTTGTAGTTGAGAGGATCCTTGCTTACCTGAAGAGATGTCCAGGTAGAGGCATACTCTTCAAAAATAATGGTCACATGAAGATAAAAGTCTACATAGATGCTGATTGAGTGGGGTGTGTTGATGGCAAGTCTACTTCTGGGTATTGTGCCTTTGTAGGAGGCAACCTTGTCTCTTGGTGGAGTAAGAAACAAGATGTTGTGGCACGTTCCAGTGCTGAAGCAGAATACAGATCTATGGCACATGGTGTGGCTGAAGTATTATGATTGAGGTCCTTGTTTGAGAACTGGGAATTGCTTATGAGAAACCTTTGATGCTATATTTGATAATCAGACTGCTATTAACATTGCCCACAATCCAGTACAAAATGACAGAACTAAATATATTGAGGTGGATTGACACTTTATCAGAGAGAGAGTTGTTTCTCAAGAAGTGTGTCTTCCATATATTGCCTCTGATATGCAGCTTGCTGATCTCTTCACAAGGTAACAAAAGCTAAGTTGGAAACAGATTTACGCGAGTTGGGAATGATAAATATATGTTCCCAACTTGAGGGGGGAGTGTAGAGATGTATAGCAATAATTAATGTTGTTTTATTGTTGTTATTTTATTTATTGTGCTCCCACTGTTAGACAGTGTATGCCCTTAGCTCCAATCAGCATGATGTACATTATGACATTTATTGTAAATGAATAAAGTACATATTTGATTCATATTATTATGGTGTGTTTCTGTGTAATACCCTTAAACTGGACGTATATGAGAATCGTGTTAGTTTAGAATTTTCACAGTCGTTGGATAGATCTGGGGAGATTTATCTTGCCAAGGCTGACACTGATGTACCACCAAGTTGGTTGGKGTGRYTTGTCTCAGCTGCCAGGGTGAGACCTGAGGTACATGCAGTGTGGGTTTTCTTGAAACCCTGAACCGGACCAAAATTCCAGTATTGCCCTGGAACTTGGAGATAGATGGGCAAAACTGGAATGTTACACCTGACCCCTAGACTCGATTATGATATTGCACTAGGTGTCAGATTGGGTTGTCTTTGGCATGCCAATTAGTGAGATCCTTATAGGGGGTCAAAACCTAGGTATGTTGGGACAGTCCAAAAATTCATCTGAGTGGGTGATCATAGTGACAGGATCAACCCCTTTGTTGGACAAAGTGAATGATCAGGGATGCACCCAATTTGAGAATGAATAATTACATTAAAAGATTGTCTTTATGTACCCAATTTGAGAAGAAATTTAATTTCTATTTCAAAACTGTGTGCGGATGGTTATTCTGTTCTCTTTAGTAATGTGATTACTATTAAAAGGAATAACAAATTCCTTGCATATGGAGAACTTGAGAATGGTCTCTATGTTCTCCATCCTTCTCTGAAAACAAATATAACCAAAACTACATCGGATAATAATCTCAAGAAAAGAACCCGTGATACAGTTAATCCCACATGCTTGTGGCATTACCGAGTTGGCCACATTAACATAGATCGTATCACAAGGTTGGTAAAGAATGGTCATTTGAATTTTCTAACTGTAGAAGATCTTCCAACCTATGAACTTTGCCTTCAAGGTAAGATGACGAAACGGCCATTTAACGGTAAGCCTGAAAGATCAACAGGCACACTTGACCTTATACATACTGATGTATGTGGTCCCCTGAATGTTAAGACACGTAACCAGCACGTTTATTTTATAACATTCACCGATGATCACTCTCGGTATGGTTACGTGTACCTAATGAGACACAAATCTGAATCCTTTAAAAAGTTCAGAGAGTTCAGGCAAGAGGTCGAGAAACAGTTGGGGAGACACATTAAGGCCCTTTGATCAGATCGAGGAGGCGAATATCTCTCTGACGAATTCAGGGACTACTTAAAAGAAAATGGGATAGTATCACAACTAGCTCCTCCTGCTACACCACAATTAAACGATGTGTCAGAAAGGAGGAACCAGACTTTATTGGATGTGGTCCGATCACTTCTCGTACACTCGGAATTACCCACATCCTTTTGGGGTTACGCATTAGAGATTGCAATATACGTGCTGAACCGGGATCCAACCAAATCCGTTCCGAAGACTCCCTATGAGCTTTGGACCAGTAAGAAACCAAGTATGAGACACTTGAAGATTTGGGGTTGTCCGACACAAATTGGAATCTAAAACCAGTCGTTGTCTATTTGTAGGTTACCCAAAAGGCTCTGTAGGGTATTTATTCTATGACCCAAGAGAGCAGAAGGTGTTTTGTAGTCGAAATGCCCATTTCTTGGAGGAAGATTACATCCTGAACAATCATCGTCAGGAAGTTGTTCTTGATGAGGAGAGCTCAAGAGTAGTGGGAGATGTTCCACAAGCTCCAGTTAATAACCAACCTAGGAGATCTACCCGGGAATCCAGGCTTCCAGTTCTTTACGGCTATGACCAAGAAAGTTACTTGGTAGAAGCCACGAGCAGTGAGGAGGATCCCGTGACTTATACGGAAGCTATGTTGGACATAGATTCCTTGAAGTGGGTAGATGCCATGAGAGCTGAGATGGACTCAATGGAGACCAATGGAGTATGGACTCTAGTAGATCTGCCCCTTGGGGTAAAAGCAATTGGTTGCAAATGGATCTATAAGAGGAAGAAGGGCCTCGATGGTAAGGTTGAGACCTACAAGGCTCGTCTTGTGGCGAAAGGGTACACTCAGAAAGAAGGAATCGATTATGAGGAAACCTTTTCGCCTGTTGAGACCTACTATGGTTTCAAAATGTTTGCAAAGGGTTTTAATTCTCGGGATCCATGTGAGTAGAGTGTAGCACTGCACCTTGCAGTCGAGGGAGAGATCCTCTCTTGTCGGGCAGTGTTTGATCATTATGGGCTAAGAGGTTAAGTGTAAGACCATTGAGGGTTATACTTGATGGGTTAATCTTGCATCTACCCATAGTCCTTGGACTTTCATAAGATGGCTAGACCCAAGGACCATTTAGTGTAAATGTTGGGCCCATTAAGAGCCCATGGTGATGGACTCAGGGGTTCACTGCATTCAGCAGTGAATTTGGCCAGGCCTTGTAACAGAGGCTAGGCTGAACCCATGTGGCTGATGTGTAGATCAATGATAGGGTCCCACGCCATACAAAGAGAGTCAAGCTAGCCAGCATTAAAGAGGAAGTGATCCTGAAAGCTTAATGGGCCTAAAAGCCCATTTCGAACCAGGGTTAATTAGATTAATTAAATAGAGGCGGATCTGGGATTTGGATCAGTAAATAAGATAAGGGATTATCCTTATCCACTTAAAGAGTCCAGATCCAAAAAAAGATTTGGATCAAAGGAACTCCTAATTTGATTAGGAAGGTTGATCTTTATCTGCAGATAAGATATGGGATTATCCTTATCACTTAAAGAGTCTAAATCCAAATAAAAGATTTGGATCAGGAAACTCCTAATGAGATTAGGAAATTGTCTCTTTAAGGCTATAAATAAGAGAGCAGGGCGAACCTTCAAAAAGACTCACTGAATACAGAGAGAAGACAACACAGTTAGACTGATCTTGCCTTCTGCTCTTTTTCTTTTTGCTCTTGCCGCCCTACCCTGTTCGATTTCTAGTTCTTGGATTGGATCAAGATTCGATCTTGATATTGTTTCTTGCCAGAAGAAACAATTTAGAAGTTGTGCTCACTGTCCCATTCGATTCTTGCTGAAGAATCTCTAGTTCTTGGTGAAGAACTACCTGCTGATCCTGCCTCATCCTAAGTTGTGTCATCTTTAGTGGAGGGAGGATTTGGTACTCTCTTTGGGTATGAAACCTATGTTGGGAGGAGCATTCTTGCGTGGATTCCATATCAGGTATATCCCTCCCTTAATTTGGTTTCAGATTTAGTCCAGTTTGGTTACAAGAACGAACCTTGAAAATGCAGTTTTCTAAATTGGGAATAGGATTCCTGGATGGGAGTAAAGAAATTTTTTGAAATTTCACCCAACCATCCTGCAGGGTTCGGCCATCCATATGATGGATCTGCCATCCCTTCACCCACTACTGCTGTTAGTTAGTTCACTTTACATTTGTTGTTAGGCTGTTGTTAGCAATGTTAGTTTTTTAGTTATTTGCTTATGTAAGTAGTAGGGGCTTTAATGTAATTGCCATCTTATTTTTTGATGTTATTGTAAATAAATGAGTGGGGCGGCGGCTAAGGCCAATCACTCTTCTCTCATCTTTCTCTTCTCTTTCCTTTCTTCCTTTTCTTCTTCTTCTTCTCTTCTCTAGTATTTTTTTCTTTTAATTTGCATCAAGAATTGGACTGATTACAGTCCAGATTTGCCTACTGTTTTCTGTAATTAGACATAATAAAGAATATATAATGATTTAGATTTGCATCATTTTACTGATAGATGTTCATGCAAAAATATAAAAAAAGGGGTAAAATATGTACACATGGATCACTTTAGTGGATCACTACATTCAGAGACGTAACTAAGCAAGCTTGTTGTTATCTTTATTCATCATACAAATACAGAAAACTCATGCACATTGAAAGAAACAGGGAAAAACTAATAGAAAAGATCAAATAAAAACATTTCTTTTATCAATTAACAAATTAATAGATAAAAAGAAAGAATTTTTCATTTATAGGGAGTTGAGTGAGACAGAGGCTATTACAATGACTTAAGGAGTTGATTCATTTTCTGAAAGCTTCCTTCTGAGATCCTTGAGAGCATCTACTACTTCAGGACAGAGATTGTGCTTTAGCAATTTGCCTTGTACAGAATATGACCTGCCAATTAACCACATTTGATATTTGGGGAGAAAATGTTTGATGCTGATGATATATTTAATGTTTTATGTTGCTGTTAGCTCGTGCTTGTGCTGTTACTGTCGACAGGGGTATTCCTGTCATTGTAGACTTTTTATTTGTATCTAATATAAATAGTACCTGGGGCGGCAGAACAGATTAGAAAGACTGCACCCCTTTTCCCTATTCTTTTCTCTTCTTCTCGGCTCTCTTCTTCTCTTCTCTTATTCCTCTTTTTTTTTCTTCTTTTCTGGTTTCTTTTTCTTTACAGAACAGGTCTGAACCTCTTCAGTTACAGACAACTTAGTATCAGAACAGTTCTAAAACAGACTAGGGTTTCTCATGTAGGGTAATCCAGCTGACTACACGAGACCTTTTTAGGGCTGGAAGCTTCAGCTTGAATCGCCTAGTTCTTGGAGGTCATTGGAGATTGTAGGAGGTGCCCAAGGTACTGAAATCTTGGAGAAGTTGCCCGGTGACCAGGAAAAATCAGAGAAAAACAGGTCAGTTTCTGATTTAGGGCTTAAATCAGTGACTGAGTTTGGCGCCCAGATTTTTCTGGGTATTTTTTTCATGATCCTTTTTGGATTGGCATATCTAAGAACTTGTTTGGAATCCTCTGGTAGGATCGGCTGTCAGTTCTCTGACTTCTCTAGGGCTGAGTTTAAGTTTTCTCTTCAACTGTGCTTCTGGACTGAGCGGTAGGGAGTTTCCTCTTCAGTTTTCACTTCCTTGGGTTCGTGGAGAGGTCTATAAACCTTTTTTATTCTTCTGGGTTCTGCTGGACAGCACTTGAAGGGACAGCTTTTTTGTAAAAAGGAGGATTAATCAGAGCAGGTTCTCCCTTTTCCTGTGATTCTTCATTGATCTTCCAGCATGGAAATTAGTGGAAATGAGTCAAAATCATATGGGGAAGGGCTTGTGGGAGCTGGAAATGCTGCTGACAGCAATACATTTCAGATTAATACAATAAAGTTGATGGAACAAACTATTTGCAATGGGTTCAATCAGCCATGATGACCATTGGAGGAATGGGGCATATGGGGTATGTGATGGGAGACAAGAAGAAACCAACACAAGAGGATCCTTCTCTTGCTAAATGGGTCCAGGAAAATTATCTTGTTATGACTTTGTTATGCAATTCTATGGGCTAAGATAGCAATGGAGATTTGGGACAATATGAAACATATTCTCAGCCCCTAAATGTTGTTAGAGCCTATGAACTGAAAAATGAGGTGAATAATCTTAAATAGGGGGAGAAACCTGTGTCAGTTTATTTCTCCACCCTGAAATCATTATGGCATGAGATTGATCATCTTGAAACAATTGAGTGCGAGAGCCAGAAAGATGTTACCACATTCAGAAAACTGGTTGAAAGAAATAGTGTTTGAATTCCTAGCTGATTTGAACTCTGACTATGACATTGTGAGAAAACAACTTCACTAGAGATTGTCTCTTTATCGTAGGCCTACTCTCTAGAACATAGTGTACGAGGAAGGTTATGTTACAAATTCCATCTATGGAATTAGATTTAGAAGCCATAAAGCCGAAGTCTAGAGGTGATAAGGAGAAGGAAGTGAAGAAGCTAGGAAGGTGAATGGAGTCTACTTGCTTGAACATCCACCTGGGAGGAGTAAAGAAACTAGGAAGGTGAATGGAGTCTACTTGCTTTAACATCTCTGGCATAATCAGTTGGGTCATCTTTCTTTTGGGTCTTTAAAGAGTTTATTTCCTATTTTGTATGAGTCAGTCCAAGTGTCCAATTTGAAGTGTAAGAGTTGTGAATTGGCAAAACATTGTAGATAAACTTATTCACAAAGTAATAAAAGAAGTTTTACTCCTTTCGAAACTATGCACATTGATGTTTGGAGACCTTATCATATTGCTGCTAGGGGAGGGTACAAATACTTTCTGTTGTTTGTTGATGATTACTCTCAGTATTCATGAGTTTACCTTATGAATTCTCGAGATGAAGTTCCCACTTTAACTTGTGCTTTTCATCAAATGGTCTTAACTCATTTTGGGATTAAAATAATCTCAAATCTGATAATGCCAAGGAGTATTTTACAAAACCCTTAGCCTCTTATCTCCTTGAGCATAGAGTTATTCATTAGAGTACTTGTCCTCATAAACCTCAGCAAAATGGAGTTGTTGAGAGGAAAAATAGACACATCCTGGAAGTTGCAAGAAGCATCATGTTGAACTCTAATGTTCCTATACGTTTCTAGGGGAATGCGATTCTCACTGCAATTTATCTAATTAACAGGATTCCTTCATGAGTCTTTGACATGAAAGCTCTTTTTAACTTGTATTCTGATTTCTAACAATGAGCAATTTTCTATTCTTCCCAAAATCTTTAAGTGCACCTATTTTGTCCAAATACTTGGACCTAATTGTTCTAAATTTGATCTTAAGGCTGCAAAGTGTATTTTCTTTGGGTATGCATAAAGTCAAAAGGGGTACTACTATTATGATCCTGTCTCAAGGACCCGGTTTGTATCCATGGATGCTACCTTCTTTGAGGATGTTCCATATTATCCTAGAGTTCCATCTCAGGGTGAGAGTGGCGAGCAGTGTATTTTTGCTCAAGAAGTTCCTTTGCTTATTCTTGTAAATGAAGGGGAGTTGTCAAAAGTGTAAAGAATTGAGGGTGTTTCACAAACGATGGTGGAGGCAAGTTGGCTCTAGTAATGAACAGTCCAGTCCAGTTCCAATCTCTTCTGCGGCACCAAATTCAGGTATTACCTCTTCCTTACCCACTTCTACTACAGAGGACATACCCACTACCTCTACTGAACCTTAGCCTCCCTCAAATGATCTTGACCTCCCCATTGCATTACGCAAGGGAAAGCATCATTGTGCCTCATCTACTGCCCATTGCATCTCCATTTCCTTTCTTATGACCACCTTTCATCATCATATAAGTCTTTTTTTAGCCACCATTGCTGCCATTCCTATTCCTAAAACTGTGCTAGAATTCCTAGCAAGTGCTTGAATGGAAGGAAGCAATGAAGGTTGAGATGGATGCCCTTGTGAAAAATGATACTTGGGATCTTACGGATAAACCAAGGGGAAAGAAACTTGTTGGGGTGTAGATGGGTATTCATAGTAAAGTATAATGCCGATGGTACAATTGAAAGATATAAGGCTAGACCAATTGCTAAGGGATACACACAGACTAATGGTATTGATTACTTAGAAACCTTTGCACCAGTTGCCAAAATGAACACCATCAGAGTTTTGTTGTCCCTTGTTGCTAACTTTTCATGATCATTATTTTAGATGGATGTTAAGAATGCATTTCTAAATGGTGACTTGAAGAAGGAGGTGTATATAGAGTTGCCTCCTAGCTTTTATGATGCAGAGGTAGGTAAGAAAGTCTGTAAGTTGAAGAAAGCTTTGAAACAAACTCCAAGATAATGGTTTGATAGATTCAGACTTGCATTAGAAAAGTTTGGCTACGCTCAACCCCAGTCTGATCACACTCTTTTCATTAAGAAGGAAGGCTCTGTTGTGACTCTTTTAACTGTGTATGCTGATGACATTGTTGTGACAGGGAGTGGTATTGATGAATTCTCTTAAACAATTGCTTAATCAAGAGTTTGAAGTAAATGATCTAGGTGAGCTGAGGTATTTTTTAAGGATTGAAGTGGCAAGGTCCAAGCATGACATTTTTATTTCCCAAAGAAAGTATGTTCTTGATTTCCTATAAGAAACAGGAAAATTGGGAGGTAAACCTGCAAATACTCCCATTGAGCCAAATCATAAGATAACCACAGAAGATGGTGAACCTCTTAAAGATAAGAGTATGTACCAACGGCTTGTGGGAAAGCTTCTTTATCTATGCCTGACTCGCCCTGACATTTCTTATGATGTCAGAGTTGTCAGTCAGTAATATGCACTCTCCCAAGACAACTCATCTCTTTGTTGTCAGTTAGTATATGATTTTCTTGTTCAATCCCTCAACTTAACATGATGCATCTTATAGAAATCCCCAACTCTTTTAGTGAACTTGACATTCAAAGCACAAGCCCCACTCGAGCCTCCAACACTCCCAATCCAAACCACCTATTTGTCTTCTGATTTTTCAAATACCTCCCTTCCCTTATCAACCCCCACTAGCACCACTATCTTTTAATAAAAGAAAACCCATCTTTATAACTTCCCCACTTAACTTAAAGTGGGTCCCACCACTTTCAATGCCTTTTGGAACACTATGGCCATGATATTCGATGTAGCCCAATGAACCGTCCCCAAAAGAACCATTAATTTCTTCAATTCCAAAAACACCCTCATCTTCAACCTCACACCCTTCCTCTTTGAACTGATTGTTTGCGTTCCCTCCATAATCACCAGAGCATTGGTAGTTTGAAAACTATCAGATAATCTCCAAGAGTTTGTTCTAGGATCTACAAATCTGAATCTTCCACAAGCATCCCCCACATCCTTAAAAGTTTGAAAACTCCATGCGTGCAAAGGAAGCCCGATTAGAGTATTCCTCCTTCTAATTATAAGATCTAGAGATCGAAACTTATTTTGTTAATTTGTTCTCTCCTCAAGACATTATTAGCCTCCTCTTTGCTTTTGAGTGTGAATAAGAAAAAGCTAGAATTCAGCTTTCTGACCTGAAAGGGCTTCCATGGACACCATTCAATAGCATCCCACTCTCCGATCTTCTCAACATATGGATCAAAATTGGCAAAGTGACTAACCAGGCTTCTCTCCAAGAGCCTAAGTCGATCTCCAATCTCTCCATCCGGATTCACAATCACCTCCGTCATTGTGACTTAGCTTTTCTAAAATGCTAACTTTCATTAAACAAAATTCATCTTGAGAATTCCTTGAGAATGATTGGTTCATCAATGCTTTGAGAACAATAGTACATAAAAAACAAAATATTATTAGATGAAAAGAAAAGAGTACAAAGGGAGGGTTGATGAGAGATCACCCATAATAATCAAAGCAAAACTAAATGAATCTTTACAATGATCTGTAAATTTTAGGAGAATCAAAACCTGAGTATTGAGAAGTCAAAGAAACAACATGTCCAAAAAAGGGTTTGGCCAAAATTCATATCTGAGATGGATGAGTATAGTAGAAAGAATGAGGTTAGAAATGAAGACATTCATAGAAACCTAGGAGTAGCTCCAATAGGTGATAAAATGAGAGAAAGCACACTTATATGTTTCTGTCATGTGTATAGAAGATCACCTAAAGCATCCATAAGAAAAAGTGTTTGGTAACTAGTTGATGGAGATAGAAAGGCTACAGGCAGTCGAACTAGTAAGAAATGATTTAAGCACTCATAATTCAACAATGGATATGGCATCAATGATGATGTCTCTATGTTCTCTCTTTTACCCCTTTCCAAATTCAGTTCGTTGATTGGAATATAAAAAACCAATTTCCCAAATGGCGTCAATAAAGGAATCCACATATCAGAAATGAAACAGACCTCTGTTCTTGAAGCATCCTCTCAAACTCCTTTTTTGAAGCTTTAATCTACAATAGCATCAAAATGTCAAATTTTCCAAAGATATTTCTCATTGTGCAATAATTACATAATAATGATGAAGGAAAACTGAGATGGAAAACTACTAAAAAGTAAAAATCATAGCTAATAATTATGCAAAACATTTTTTATGTGTTTGACAAAAATAAGTTTGAACAATTATCAGAAAAAAAAAGACAAAAAGAGTTTGAAAAATGGTAATATTGTTAAAATACAGTTGGTATGTCAAACAACCCATACAAATCCTATTTTTTTATTTACTGATATGTAACAAATTGAATGGACATTTTCTTACTTCGTTATTCACTTTAATTTAGAGATTGATTGGCCTTTCTCAATTATTATACCACTATTGATATGTAAAGTCATTGTCATCCTTCGGTTAAATTTTCTAGACAAAACAGAATGGATTTTCTTACACATTTGACCATTTGTCATCCTTTGGTAAAACAATAAGCATTAAGTGGAGGATCTCAGTCATTTACAGAATCCCTTCATCTTGTAGAGACAGGTATAGTGAGGGCTAAAACTGTAACTTTACTTCTTGTTGTACCATTCATTCTCTATTATTTTAGTCTGTACATTACTTGTTGTACTACAAGGATGGAATTGTCCTTTTACCTTTAATTAAAATAAATATTACTTTCTTGGTGTTGTCGATTCATTAGACACACCCCAAATCTGCTGTTTTTCCCATGTTCGAACTGCACTGACAGGGTATTAGAGCAAGTTCGATTCTCTTCGTTTTGATTTCAGCTTTTATTCTCCTATATTCAGCATCAGTTTGGATCCTTCTCCCTTTTTTCAGACTGGTAGATGTTCCTTTCTGGACTGTTCTGATCAAGACATGAAAATCTGTTTTTCCTGAACTGGGATGCTACTCAAGTTAGTATATTGGGGTTTTCTCTCAAGTGGGTGATCTGTTTGCTCTAAAATTCTAGATCTGGTGTCACCCTAGGCTGTTCCTTCAGCCCTAAAAACTTGGTAAAGATTGGATTTATTTTGCTAGGGTTTTGATCCCTTCTCCTTTTTGGACTGTGAACAGAATTTCTGCTGTTTTCAGCCTGTTAGAGGTTGTTTCCTCCTTATTTCTTACAATGGCATCTGAAAGGGGTGATGTTCTTCCTATCAAGTTAGATGGAACCAACTATGCCTTATGGCAGTTCCATTTTCAGTTTTATGTTGAGGGAAAGGGGTTGTGGGTTGTAGAGAACACTGATGTGGACCCCACAGCTGTGGTCCCCACTGTGTTCGTATGGCAGCACAGCATGTATTCTTTGTTAGTTATGTCAGTGTTAGTTGGTAGTTATTTCAGTTTTGTTGTTACAGCTTGTTATTTTAGCTTTATTATTAGTTTATTTGCCATGTAAGCATTAAGGGCAATTCAGCCTTTTTTACAATTAGTAAACATATAAATATTAAGAGTGGGTCGGCAGATTGATTCTATTCGACCCTCCTTTTCTAAAACCCTTCGTGTGCTTCTGCTTTCTCCCTCTTTTCTTCTTTTCCCCATCTGAAATCTTTCTTTTACTTTCGGATTCAAGACTGATTGTAGTCTTGATCGACTACCTGGGTCTATTTCTATGGAACCACCACCATACCTAAAGCAACTGATGCAAAAGGGCTGCAGACCTGGAAGATTAATATTGCCCAGATTGCATCCTGGATCCTTAGTTCAGTCACCATAGATGTTGCTAACTTGCTATCCCTATGAGGGGTCTTTGGACAGACAAAGAGATGTACAAATATCTGGAAAAGGTTAATAAACAGTCTAACAACTCACGACAATATCAGATTGAAACTGAGATATTTTCCTACAGTCAGGGTGAAAAGAAAGATTAGGAGTATTATGTGGGCTTTGTCAATCTTTGGACTGAGTATGAGCTTACTCACATTGGGGAGATGTCCTTTTCTTGCTATATCAAGACACTGAAGGAACATTTAGACAGAAAGAAGTAGTGCATTTCTTTGTCCACCTCCATCCTGAATATGAGGTAATAAGAGCAGACATTCTATGTAGAGACACTGTACCATCTCTTGGTACGAGTGCAAAGAGTTTTATCACGTTGTATCCCATTATAGGAAGAAGACTACCTGTACTTACTGCAAGAAGTTTGGACATATCATCACTGAATGCCCCACAATACCACCTAAAGGAAATTAACCTGGTGAGAAAAGGAATCAACACAAGGCTTATCATATTTCAGTTGAATGATCAAATGATGCTTGTGTTTTGTGCATCTTCTCGTGAATGTCCTAAATTGTTTTCTCCATCTGCTATGTGTGCCTTTGTAAGGTACAATCCTGACCACAAAGGCTTTCTATGTTATGATCCTTTTGTTCGTCATATTTGTATTTCATGAAATGTTGTGCTTTTTAGTATATCTCTCTTTGTTGGAGTTGCTACATTGTTTAGGTCGCCGGAGGTAGGTCTCCAAGTCTCCAGTAGGTCTCTGGAGGTAGGTCGCCAGGTTGGCGGAGGTAGATCTCCAGGTCTCCAGAGGTAGGTCGCCAGGCCTCCTTCATTTTGGCTAATGCAAGTCATCGCCTACATGGCGCCAGGGTGTCATCTAGCTATTTTGAGATGCCATGTGTCATGATGTCAGTGGAGGGCCAAATCTACCCTCATTAGGCACCATTTTTCTTGGCTGCCTCATGAACTACAGAGGGAATGGTGGATGGAACCAGATAAGGAAGAAAAGGTGGACAAGGTGGCAACATCTCCGTTTCCATGGGTGTCTTTGGAGTGTCGGATGAGCTAGAAAAAGAATGAAGCCTGTCCAAAGCAATCGACACCGACAGTTGTGCTGCAAGTGATGATGGCGTGGCATTAGAATTAATGTTGCTCTTTTCCAACGGGTGTGGGTTGGGGAAAGATTGTCATCAATCAAGAAATTGCTCTTTCTGTGGGGAAGGTGGTGGAAAATTGTTATTTTCAGACAGAGGGTTCGGCGCAGAGTTGCACCGGCGGAGAGTCCACAAGGAAGAGCCAAGAATAGTGCTTGTGGGGATAGGAGATGAGACCATCTGTACGACCGAGCGAGGTTTTGGCGGTGACGAGTATGGAAACAATGGAATGGTAGATGACATCGTCCCGACTGCGGACTCAGTGTTCGCCGAAGAGTGTGTGTTCAAGGGAAAGAAAGAATTGGTGTGGCCCACACCGTCAGGGTTGAGGTAGTAGTTGAAGGAGGCCATTGGATCAACCATGATCTTCTTGTTTAATGGCTCTAGATCGGAATCAAAGGTGCAGAGTTCTTGTTGCAGATCCGAAGATGATCGTTTCTTCAAGGAGGAGCCACATAACTCATAGTGGCCAAAACCAATGCTCTCGAGCTGGAGCATAGACATGGAATGTGATGATGCACGACCCGGCAGCTCCCTGCTAACTGATGACTCAGAAGCCGAGCTGGAGAATTCCTTGCTGGAAGGTGACTCGGATGCCGAGCTATATAACGGAGAGTTGTGTAATTTTTTGGGAGACCTACAGGGAAACAATATTAGAGTGCCTGGGTTTCTTTACCCAGGGTGGGCACTTCGATGCTTAAGTCAGAGAATTGGAGATTTTTGAGAGAGCTAAAGAGCTGCGAGAACTAAATTGCATACCTTCTCTCAGGAAAATGGTGCTTTTATATAGATGTGAGCAATTAGAGACCTCCTGTAACGGGACCTAGATTCCTGAAGAGCCGTTTCTGCTAAGTTAGGAGAGAATATCTCCGTCGATTACGCAATTTGCGCAAAGAAATGAGGTCCGTCGGATCAACTTTGATGCGGGTAGGGCGGCCTACTGGGGTGATCTACTTACTCAATGCCGAGGTGTGACTTGGATGCCATGTGTCATGCTGTTATTCAAAGGTTGGTCACCAGGTCTCTAGTAGGTCTCTGGAGATAGGTCGCCAGGTCGGCAAAGGTAGGTCGCCAGGTTGGCAAAGTTATGTCACCAGGTCTCTAGTAGGTCTCCAAAGGTAGGTCACCGGGTCAGTAGAGCTAGGTCGCCAGGTCTCTAGTAGGTCTTCGGAGGTAGGTCGCCGGGTCTCCAGTAGGTCTCCGGAGGTAGGTCACCAGGTCTCCAGTAGGTCTCCAGAGGTAGGTCAGCAGGTCTCCAATAGGTCTCCCAAGGTAGGTTGCCAGGTCGGCAGAGGTAGGTCTCCAGGTCTCCAGTAGGTCTCTAGAGGTAGGTTGCCAAGTCGTCGGAGGTAGGTCTCCAGGTCTCCAGTAGGTCTTTGGAGTTAAGCTGTCAGGTCGGCGGAGGTAGGTCTTCAGGCCTCCAAAGGTAGGTCGCCAAGTCTCCATCATTTTGGCTAAGGCAAGTCATTAACTACGTGGTTCCAGGGTGTCATCCAACTATTTTGAGATGCCATGTGTCATGATGTTGGTGGAGGGCCAAATTTGCCCTCATCATGCGCCATTTCTCTTGGTCGCCTCATGAACTACAGAGGGAATGGTGGACGGAACCAGATGAGGAAGAAAAGACAAGGTGGCAACATCTCCATTTCCCTGGGTGCCTTTGGTGTATCGGATGAGCTAGAAAAAGAATGAATCCTGTCCAAAGCAGTTGCCACCGGCGATTGTGCTGCAGGTGATGATGACATGGCAATAGAATTAATGTTGCTCTTTCCCAATGGGTGTGGATTGGGGAAAGATTGTGATCGATTAAGAAATTGTGGTTTCTGTAGGGAAGGTGGTGGAAAATTGTTATTTTTGGACAAAGGGTTTAGTGCAGAGTTGCACCGGTGGAGAGTCCACAAGAAAAGAGTGTGTCCATCTGTAAGATTAAGCAAGATTTTGGCGGTGACGAGTATGGTAACAATGGAACGGTAGATGGCATCACCCCGACTGCAGACTTGGTGTCCGCCGAAGAGTGTGTGTTCAAGGGCAAGAAAGAATTGGTGCAGCCCGCACCGTCGGGGTTGAGGTAGCAGTTGAAGGAAGCCATTGGAATGACCATGATCTTCCTGTTTAATGGCTCTAGATCAGAATCAGAGGTGCA